TGGTTTCTGCACAAACTATTGCTTTCTTTTGCCCCCTTCAGTTTATAGCCATTTTTAGAAATAAATGCATTTAGACAGAAATTTGAAAATTACAGCAAAACAGTTTATTGAAATTGAAGGTGACTATATGGAAAATATTTTAATGTAAATCACATGAAACGACTCATATCACATAAAGATGAAAGGTAATGTAAGTTAAGTTCAAGCACCTTCTTTGTGTTCTTTTCACACTCTTGCCTTCTTACATAATACTTGGCAAACAAAAGACTTTATCTACTTGAGCTCACTGTTTTTATCAAAATTCCTCTTGAAAATAGTGTGTCTGTAAACCTTTCCAGTGGTAATTCACCACATTAAAAATAGATAAGCTTAAGAGCTTGCAGTGCTTGAAGTCTGAATATTTACCCATGTTAGGATGTTTGAGTGGCACTGTCTGTGTCTGATTTAGATTAGATGTGAATTATGTCATCTTCTCAGCTCAGTATCAAATACTTTGCTATTTTTTGATATATAGCAACTATTAAGTATAGCTATTATTCAATATGGCAATGCATATTCTCAGCCATCTAATGTACAGCTGTACAGTTAATGTTTCATCATTTGCCAACACTTCCCTACAAGAGGACCTGAGATATTAGCTTTTCCATAGGAAATAACAATGGTGTCATTGGTTCTTTTTTTTTAACCTCCTTCCATAGAGTTATGTGTGATGTAACATTTTCCAAGACAGTAAGAAATGCAATAGATATCAAAATACTACATAACATTGCATAAAATGCCACTATAAAATTATATTAGGGTGGCCCAAACTGTTCCTTTTTTAGACATTGTTTTGTATAAGCTTTAGAAAAGGTCTCTCAAATAATACAAATAAGGAGATTCTTCAAATTTCAAAATACATCTCAGTTGAGAGGTATTCTTACATTTTATTTCAATTTTGTTCATGTTTATCCTTGCTTGTAATTTTTTACGTAATTTTCCCCCTCTAATCTTTACACATTCAATATCACTAATAAACTGTAATAAAAAAAACTTTGTAACTAATCAAAGAGCATCTATTAAATTAAACTCATAATGAAACTTCCTAAAATGTGGGAATCTGCTACAGATAAAATCTGTGTCACTTTTGGTACCCTCTTTACGCATACTACTGTACGTATTTTATTTCTGATTTAATACACTACTGCTTTGGTATCAACTGCATATACTTCCTTTTGATACGTAACAAGCACCTAAATGTAATACATAGTCCCTAATATGGTTTTTAAAAAGCACCTTCATAGAAATATATCTACAGTTTACAAAATATATGCAATATTGCAACAGAAAATCAAAGCAGCACATGTAGCACCACGGATTAAATCCAGCCCTGCTAAAATGTCTGGCGTGCTTTTTAACAGATGCACGGAAGATGATCTTTCTGTGCACCGTCGCAAACACCCTGTTTCCTTACCTTTTATAATTCAGCGTAGTGGAGAGACAAGAGTATCACAAACCATAGTCCTGCGTGCCCCTTTATATAAATGGATGTACTGGTGCTGATTACATAGCACGTGGGTACGGCACAAGGGAAACCTGGGCTGGAGTCACTGGATCCTCCTGGGGCGCTGGACTCGTCTCCCCTTGCACTCTGTCAGCTTGTGGATGTGCGAGCCAAGGCTTCTTCCTCTCTTACCTCATATTTATGAGGAGAAACAGGGGCCCTCCCAGTGCTAGTTATCCTCTTTGACCTCATGATCTAAGGTCTGGGCTGACCAGCAGAAAACTTCAGTGATTCTTGTATTTATCTGTGCTGGCGCATTTTGCTGCATCAATCTGAAAAAATATACTGCTAGGTTTTTTTTCCCCTTGATTAGCCACATGGAGCACAGAAAGGAATGGCATACAGAGAAAAATTTCGGGGCAATTCACTTCAGGTGCACACAATATGTCATCTACATTATTTGGTATTTCAGCATTTTTTGAAAATGTTTCAAATGTTTCATTCTGTAAGTACAGAAGTAGCACTGGCCTGAGAATTTACAGCTCTGCCCTGAAGATTACAAAGGTGATGGCATTTTATTCTAAACATATGCTTGCTTTTAAATATGAAGAATATACAGAAAGTTGGGCTTTCTGGACACTTGGACTCACTGTGGTTACATGAACTCTAAGGAAAATGTAGCTGGTGATATGATGGATTGGCTCAGATAATTCCAGTACCCTTTTGAAATGCTGATTTTATTTAATCTTCCAAGATATAGCCAGACTAAAATAAAATATATGCCACCTATGTATTTGGAAATTTCTTCTAGGAGCTACATTACTAGTAATTTGAAACAACAGAGGTGTGCAGGTTGGCAGTTCAACTGACGAAGCTTGCATTTTGAAAGTAATTCATGATGGTAATTTCATTCACATTCACATTACTTGAACTGGCTAGTTGGATTTGTACCAATTACTGTTGCCAAAACAATTGTCACACATTTTAGATATGCTAGTAAAAACATGTTCCATTTTGGACAAATTTTTGAATAGTAAATGTTGACTCTTTTTCCACCTGAACACGAACACCTGATTTCTCATCCCATTTAGAACAGCAAAGATATGCTGCGGCCTTCTTGCTTGCTGCCCAATAGTCTTTTGAAAAATAGTATTTGTCCCCAGACTTTAAGCATAAGAGTGGAAAAATTTCTAAATTAGATGAGGGACCAGGTGTTTGTCAAGCTCATTTCATAGATCTTTAATTCATGGATACTGTTAAGCGAATGCATAGAAGACATTCTTATCCTCATTGGACCTGCTTAAATGCTTTAAAAATAGACTACTTTTTGATAAAATGATAATGTAATGTATTAGTAATAACTTGTTATAAAGTGAACACTAAAGAATGTCCAAACTGGATGACATTGAAGATTTTTACCAACACTAACATTTGAGATTCAATGAAATGTGCTGACAAGTATGAAGTCACTATCTTTAAAAGGAATCTGCTGATTTATTGTTAAGCTTCTATTAGCCAAGACTGCTAGATTTCTATGTTATACCTCCAGCAATATCTGTTTTGAATGCATTCCATTTAGCATTTTCAGTTGTCGTCCTTCTAAGCAAACAGCTCCTCTACTTAAAAATATGCAACAAATCAAATTAATTAACATGAATCAATTCGACTGGTAAAGTGGTGTTTCAGAATGACTCTGAGGACCATAAATTCAAATTAAGGCTTGCACAACCTCTTCCTAGGTGTGAAGAGGCTCCTTGGTATATTAGCAAAAGGAAAAAGGGAAACCAGTCACCCTGTTTAACAGCATTCGCCTGGGATGCTTGCAAAAGTAACTGTGCTCATATAGCCAGATTTTACAACCACATCATAAACCAGAGAATAAGGCAGGCAGATGTAACAGCAATTAATTGTACCTAATGTTAATATTCAGATAAAGTTAAGTATGATAGCGGTCATATATGAATGGAGTAATATGAAGTTATTTATTGCAAAACTTTGATCATGGACGTACAGTGTTTATTATTTTATTCATATTATCCTTTGCTTGTTCTGATACTTCTTCACTCCAGGCAGTAATGTGGGTTGTCAGATTCAGTTTTGAAGGTAAAGGTATAATGGATATATGCTAATTTATACAAGTTCAATAAATATATTTTTCCTAACTGTATTTTAAATATCCGATTGGCCTACAGAGCACTTGTTCTTTTTCTGGTTTTAGTAAGGTTTAAAATACAGTTACAAAAAGTACACGCCATGCTCTATTGCCAATAACAATTGTCCATTTGTTGCAAATATGATGATATATACTCTTCCCACCATTCTGTATTATGTTTGATTTATTCACCAACATAGACTTGTATGTGGCTTCAGGTTTTGGCAGTCTGAATGAGGACCTAACAAAGGTGGGGACAGGATTAAAATATTGCTGCTGACACTAGTTTCCTAAAGGCAGCCTTTGTTCTGCTACTCCTCTACATGTCTCCTACTTTACATGATCATCCTGTGGGTCATTTATAATCTACTGGATTTAATACTTGAAAATATGATTTCTGTATTCGGCATTCATACTTTACCTTTTGCCTTCAGCTGGTCTGAACTGGAAGCCTACACTTCATTATCTACTTAGAACAGAAAGAGATTAATGTTAAATATCTCTAAATATAATAACTCTTAAATATACACAAAATTTGTAAAAAGAGATAGGGTCACATTACTGAGCATTATGTAGGCATAGAGCGATACAAAGTTTATCACGCTATGTATCAGCACTATTTCTGCATTTATTATCCTGATTTTCTGCAAGGGAATACTGTGTGACTCTTAACATTTTATATTTACTTAACTACTAAAGAAAAGCAAAATCATCTTCATATTCCTTTACTTTTTCAGTTTTTCAGTTTTCATGGTATTAGGACTTTATCATAAACTAGAATTGAGTATTCACATGGAGAAAGGGAAGAATCTGATATGTATATTTCTTGGTGTGATAGGTATACCTGATGGTTAAAGAAACAAAGAGCCAGTCAGTTTTATGGCATTTTGTAATACGGTCTTGTCACTGCAAGAGAATGATGACCAGGAACATTAAGTTTTTAGGTTGGACATCATGTAGTGTTTGAGTTTTCACTGCAAACTTAAAAAAGAGAGCATCTGCTTAACTTCCAAAACACTTGTTAGCTCTTCCACTTTTTCTCTGCTAGTTTTACAAGGTTTCCAACTCTACCAATGTCCATGATACAAAACAGAAAAAAGGAAGTACTATCACAAAAATATAAGTAAGATTTTGTGGTAGTTTTGACAATTTGTGTTGGCTGTCTCAAGGCCATGCCAGTTGTGTGGGGCAAGATTTTTGGGGGTTGTATTTTCTATGATTCAGTAATCTCAACTACTATAACTCACTGTTGGAGGGGGGCAAAGAATTCATAGTAACGGATTTTGTCTTCACTTACTTGTTCTAAAGACTGGTTTAAAACACATTAAAAAATAAATAAAAAGTTCTTTTTTTTTTTTTTTCCAGGTGGGAGATGAAAGAAGGTGCCGATCTTGAAGATGAGGAGAAAGTTATGGTGGAACACTTGAAAAATGTTTATTTGACACAGAGCACTCCTATCTCAGAGGATAAAGAAGAATCATTACCTTGACAGGTTTCGGGTAGCACCTTTTTCTGAATTCAACATGATTAACTTAATGGCTTAGTTATAACTGACAGGACTAGAAAGCTCAGGAATATATATCCTGAGTAGGAGTTTTAAGCTAAAGAATGTTCCCCTGTTATTGTCTAGTCACCCCATCCAGGCAGCAATTGTTCACACATGCATAAGGCGAGCAACAATATATGAAAATGTCAATGTCACAAAACAAGGAGGGTGTATCTCGATACTGCGGAGGCATAAACCTGAATGACAAACCAAGAACTGTTTTAAATGTACAAAAATCACTCTGAAAATAATGCAACTTTGGACACGTGCTAAGCAAACATCTATGCTCTGCTTCCATCAAACATTTTGGAGTCAGAGTCAGCCTGCCCTCCATTAGCATCACTCAAGGACCTATTCTCCCCCTTGGTTCTTGTGTTCTAATTATCCCTGCCATTAAATCACCCAAAATGGATGAAAAAGGACAGGTATAGGCCCTAGACTGCAGTCCTTTGTGAGCTGCTCCAGGATGAGCATGCTTAGCCATTATTCCCAAGCAAAACTGCATCAGCTTTATTGCCCTCGCAACTCCTCACTTAACATCCAGTGTATGTTACGGCTTAAAAGATGCATTATAGAGAAACTTATTAGCAGCTTTTAAAGTTTTGAGAAGTATCTTTTTATCTAAAAGAGTTATCGACAGGCAGTGCTCAAAGGACTATCTTAACAGTGAACTGAGAAGAGAACATGGTAAAGACTGCAATATTTATTTCTGATAAATATAGTAAAATTTAATTTTCAAAGTAAGCCCGGTCTGATATTCAGATTTTCCAAACAGTAAATGTTTTTTCTTTTTTAGAAAAAGTTCTTCATCAAAGGCTGCTAATAGCTGAGTTTGACAGGTGGCTACTCTCACAATAATTTTTATACAGAAGGTGTGGTTAGTATTTCCTTAGCTCTACAGAAATAATCCATCATTTTTCTATTTGTCTCTTGCACTGGAAGTCCAAGGGAACTATTTCCTCTGCTTGATGAAGGACCCTGGCAAGATCTTGCTAAGGCTGCAATCTGAGCTGCAGCTATTCCCGTTCCCACCACTTCTTCTCACAGATGCTATTATGGACATAACTCAGGCCACCTGAATAGGAGGAAGGCACATTTTTTTCCTAAAGACTTCAGCAGCATCATGGGTAACCATAATGCTAATGCTGCCGCAGGGTCTAATCTGAAATGCAGTTTTTCCTACTCTTAATTGCTCTTTTTTTTTAATCGTGCATATAAAATATCAGACCATTTAAAATAAAAATGGGACTGCTGCATCTTACAAATCTCCAAAGATCTTGTTATAACACTGCATCAACAAAAGGGCTGTGAGGCACTGGTGCTTCAAAAATGCTACAAATATTATTTAAATAATAAAATGGACTTTTTTTTCTCTGCTGCTTGGTATAGTAATTTCAGATCATAAAGAAGTGATGAAGTGTAAAAACAATTTTTCTTTGCTTTGAAGATTAGTTGTGGTCTTAAGGCTTAAAACGTGGCTACAGTGATTGCCTGTGATGTCAGGTATAGTATTCTGGCAAATAAGGCAGATATGCTCCAAGTCGTACTAATAATATATTAGTGTATGTGGAAGCTGGAGTTTAGAATACTCTCTCCTATTTTATCAAAATCCATTGTACGTAATTAACTTTTTTGTATGGTCACATAAAGTGAATTTCTGTCTATGTGATGAAACTGACTGAAATACTTTTTATGAAAAAACTCCCCTTCTGGGAAACAGTTATTCTGAATAGGATAAACTTTGCAAGTGAAATAAGGTAACCCAGAATAAAACTCCTCACTTACTCTGAAATGGGAATGCCCATATGGGAAGTTATTCCAAACTGGTTATTATCCTTTAAATTCACAACACACCTGGTTCTGGAATAACCTGTAAACAGTCATGTTAAAAAAAGAAAAAAAAAAAAAATTCTTTATGCCCCTTCCTCCCTGCCAGATTAATTCAGCAGTAACCCACTGGGTTGCGCTAGGACAATTTTGTCTTTCTTAGCAAGAGTATCTTTATAATCTTTACCAATGTGGAGCTGAAAGGGCAGAATAACTAGCTGGAATAAAAGCTGAACCTTTACACAATATTTTTTTTTTAATGTTTTTCTTATCCAAACCTCTCTCTATATACATCTTTTAGAGTATCTGAATGAAAGCTAATGTATGTTTGAAATTAAACTTGTTCTCAGTCCTTACTGAGAAACAGCAGGGCTCGGTCTGTTGGCAATGTAGTATCAACTGACCTTCGGGGTATAAAAGAAACATCATCTTGGCAACATCACTTATGCTGAATAGATACTTTTGCAACATTCACATTTGTTCAATAAAATTGCAGTAATAATAACAGTTGTATAACTAAGATTGCTAACCATTAATTTATCAAGACTGCTTACTTTAAACTTAAACCTTTAATTGAAGAAAAATGAAAGACACTTGAAAGAGCTGATAATTTTTACATTGTAAGGTGTGTAAAATTAGGGTACTTGTATAACAGATTGCTGCTTTCTTTGGCTTTTCTTAATAAAACAATAGTTCTGTATTCTTTTAAAAAGTTCTGCTGATTCTAAAATTAAGATTAATTTCATTATGGAGAGTGACGGGCTCTTGTTTTGCATCTTGTTCAATGGTTTGCTTTTGTGTTTTATGTCCTGGCTCTTTGTCACTACTTATGGATCCAAGAATGTCTCACATTTACATTTAACCTCAATAAATGCAGCCAACGGGAGCCAGATTTGCTGGCTGCAGTCTGGGCCCTGTGTTGCATGACCAGTGCAACCTGGCCATGTTAACCGCCCCTGGAAAGGTAGTCAAAAATAAGGATTAAAGTCTGTTGTGTACAGCAGACCTTCCTGAATGGGCAAAAGCTGGCCTAGCTGGCTCAGCTGAGTTAGCTTAAATGGAAATTATTATATTTATAGAAATGAATTGGATCAGATAGCACAAACTAGCTAACTGTGCATTATGATTAATGCTTATACATTATTTTAATTTAACATTTTAGTATGCTTAGCCTTTTTTACGAAACAGGGTTAAATGGAAGACTTCATGGCATGGAATATCTCTAATTACATTAGTTTAGTATCCAGTTCAGAGTGCTCCAAATCTTAACATCTTGCTACTTTTGAAAGGTAGTTAATAAAATTAGAAGCAGGGCAAAATTGAAATAGCATTAATAGTAATGAAACTCAGAAAGACAGGAGAGAGAGAGAGAATTTTCTAAAAGATATGCATTAAGACATAGCCCTGACTTTTAGTGACTGCTGTCCTGACAAACAGTGTCCTGTAGATCATGATTTTTTATTCCAGGAGAGGGCTTTAGTAGAGACTGCAGGCAACAAAGGTATTTGTTCAGGAAATACGCACGGCAGCAAATGGATGTTCTCTAATTCATCTCCACATCCTCACAGCAGTGCAAGGTAGGCATGAGGCTGGCTTCTTCCAATTAGCTTCCTCTGACAGAAATATTCCATTTCTCTCTCAGCTGGGATACCAATTATATGCTGATATAAAACTATTTTATGGAACTCCTTAAAAATATGCACCATCATTTTTAGTGACAGACACTATTCAAACTTCCAAGGCAATAGTCGAAAGACTGAGGAATTAGACCCATTGCCCAATTAGGCATGAAATGAGAGAGTAACTTGATGGCAACGGGGAGATTTCTAAGCGAGCATATAGATCTTGAGGAGATCCTGGATGATGCAAAGCTGTTTCTCCGTAGTAATTAATGGTCCATGCTGTAAACAGTGGTATGAGTGGAAGCAGAAGCTCTAAAACTATTTTAAGTGTAAGGCCCAGGAAACGGGCAAGGGTGACTTTGCTTTTTGCTCTACCTTTGGACTCCCAGCTCTTGGGAAGTAGACTGAGCTGACCGACATTGCCAGGCAGGCAGCACAAGGAAAGCATGCAACGTCTTGAGCAGGTTGTGTATCACTGAGGGCCTGGTAACACCCATCAGCAAAATGATGAAGGAATGAGATTACTCCTCTCTAGCAACAGCATTTGAGTACTGACTGGTAGCTATTATTGCAGCAAGTGAAACAATGAAATAGAGGTGGCAAAAAACACTAAAAAGCAAGGAATTGTGTAGACAAAGAAATATAAATCCAAACCTTTTTTTTCTTTTTCCTGAACAAGTGTTTCAGGAAGAACTGCCAATCACCGAGTAGTAATGAAATAAAGTGATCATCTGAATTAAGATTGTACATTTAAATTTAGTAGATGACTATCCCTAAGCTGACAAGGAGCCACTCAAGTCATGGCTAGTTTAAATTTAATGACTACCAGATTGAGCCCTTTAGATCCATGAGAACTTCAGCTGTGAGTAGGTTTCAACCATCTCTGAGGAGATACTTTATAATATCTCCTACTGAAGAAAGCATTTGAATGTTAAAATAGCTCATTATCCAGTTTCTGCGGTAAAGCCATCCAAGCTCCAACAGAAAACAGTCTCAGCATCTACACAGCCCTGAGTCACATCCATTCTCTGTCTAGAAATGAGGCAAAGAACTGCATAATGGTGCTCATATTCAACAGGTATGATCTTCATCAGTTACTAGCTCAAAGAGCATGCCACGTCTGCCATGACAAACTCAGGTTTCAAACTTTGTTCGTGGTAAGGCATGTCACTTAGTCTTTTTTTTTTCAGCACAGTTTTTTTAGAAAAATAATTTCTTTTCAGCTATCCCAGTAAATAAATACATTGATTAAAGTTACTCTTGTAAAGCAAGCACTCCGTCGTTAGAAAACACCTGGTGAATGATTACAAATGTACCCATGTGTGTTCCTTAAGATAACTGTTAATGACATGGTCATATAGATGAATTCACTAAGGGACAGAAATATGGTTACACAAGTAACTTTTGTAAGTTTGTCATTACCTAATATCCAACTACTTTATTTTTTTTGTCCCATAATGTGTGTTTTCTATGTAAAAAGTCTAAGCATTTTTGGATATTTGGTCTCCATAAAGAAATAGTATCACATAGCTCTTCATATGTCATCTTGACTCAGCTTTGTGTTCCACCTCAATATTGTCTTTCAACCATTCTTAAAATCCTTACTGGTTAATGTTTGCTATAATGTAGAAAGTGGGTACTGCTGGCACTCAGTTATACATGGGCAGATAATTCATTTTCTAGACTAACTGTCATACAGACATACAGAAGTGTAGGACCTATATGGATCATTATTTCAGGTTTAGGGTTGTCTGAACGCTTCTGCTCCTAATATTCCACATGCATTTTGTAATATCTATGTTTTTCCATTGTTCTAAGCTACCTGTGTTACCTGGGATAGTGGGAGCTATTTGTATGCATTGCTTTTTGTGATTTTTTTTTTTTTTTACTTAAACTAAGGGATTTTGCCCTGGGTTTTATTTCAGGTACTCTGAACTTGTAATTTACACTTGGAAATCCATAGCATATCTGTTTTCATAATCTACAAACACCTATTTACATATCTATCAATAAATCCTATGCTTTCTCAAACCCAGTACAGAGTCTTAGAGAACCAAGAATTCAATAAATGTAAAATTCAAACCAACCACTTCTAAGGTTATCATTCAAGAAATGCTGTAGTCATTTTCACTTGGAATTTCACTTCTCTGTACATTTCAGAAATAACACCTTTAAGGAGTTGATTGTTTATGTTCTGGACTCTTTATTGGTATCTTCCATTTTATATAATAAACATGTTTTAAATGGGTTTTGTTATGTAGATTAAGATTATGCTTTCCCTCTAGAGAATGGAATGAACACTGGGGAGGTGAGAAGTTAAAATGGCACATGATCTTTGTTCTGGCATATGGGCTAGCAAACAGATTACCTTCTACAGTAAAACAGATGTGGCTTTGGGAACGAAATAATCTGGGCAGGAATCCTACCTGCAGGTATGTATTGGCTTCAGGAAACCGATGACTGAGCATGTTCTGTGAAGACTTTCTTCAAATGGATGAGGTCTCTTCAAACAGCAACAGTTTCTATTCCAGTTAAGGCCCCCAAATTTCACACATGCCCATCCACTTTATGTAGGGACAGATTGATGGAGGTTGTTGCATTAATGCAAATGTGTAATGCTAATCATTTAGCCTCCTCTTCTCTCCGAATAATTAACCAGAACACGGTAGACTGGTCTTCATTTCCAGCAACTATCCAGGGTCCTGATCGACACCCCGGAGCAAGACCGTACCGCTGCCAGGCTTTGGTACCCGAGCACCGATGCCTCCAAGCCAAGGAGCTGGAAAATGGGGTTTAATTTTTCATGTTTTAAAAGTGCTGTAAATGCCTGGTGCTGTTCTTGGATTCTTGAACCAAAACCGGCCAGTCCTGCAACCCTTTCATTTTCACTCCCTTTCGCACCCTTCACCAATTTTTTCTCAGCTGTCAAGATTTATGATCACTCCTGCCATTTGCAGATGTGGCTGTGACCACACCTGACACAGCAGCGTGCAGAATACATACAAAGTGATTAACTGTCTCAAAGAGCATACAGTGCATACGAATGAGTAGTTCTCCAGGACCTGTAGCGAAGCACTTTTTGGTCAATGCTTTTGATTTTGGGCTCTTTGACATTCGGGCAGACCTCCAGTCTGACAAGCTTCATAGTGAGACACACCTGGTTATTTTGTAGGAGCTTGGTGGCTTGGGTTTGTTTTTGTTTAAAGGAGAGGACATGAAGGAGAAGGTTTTTTTTTGCATTTTATTATGCTTATATTGTTATGTTAATTCTATTGCTTTTGTTGCTGTTTTGGTTTCCTTCCATCTGGACTGATGATTGGTCAATACATGACGGTTACAATCTGCTTAAGTAGTTTGAGCATTGATAAAGTCACTTTGACTGCCAGTAGCAGCAGTAATTTGTGAGTTTAGTCTTTGTAAAAAGTGTCTATCATGGCAATAAGCACGATAGGAAGTACTTCAATCTAAATCTCTCTACTAAAATGGTCTATCATTAACAAGATTCCTTAGTTAAGCTTTGTCAGGTCTCTCCCTGATAACCACAGTATTCCTTCTACGGTTAGAAGTGGGAAGAACAGAAAAATCCTAGTACTTCATGTGCTGTGCCTTTTTAGGGAACTCATTTTCCCAACTTGAGTTCCAAAAGGTGCACTTAAATTACATAATGGAAAAGGTACATGTATTTGCTTTTCCATTTTATGTGTACACAAATTGTTTAGATGACAGTTGTACAATTTTTAAAAAGTTATATAATACCCTGGAGCAGTCATCTGCTCTAACATGCATAATTTATTCAAAAATCATTTGTGGAGTTGAGGGATTAATAGTTTGGAACAGAAAAATTATAGGTATGCTAAGTACATTCTTTCAAAAATAAATCATGCAATCATATATTGAGATCCAGTATTTCAAAATTCAAAGTACAATTAAATTGTTTGCACATGTAACAGCAGTGAAATAACTTTGCAAGGTTTACATCATAAACCCATATATCTACAGAGTAAATAGTAGAACACAGACCATAAAGTTCTGTCAGTAGCATTGCTTTCAATCTTTGTTTCATTCCACCAAAACTTTTCATATCAGTCTGGCATTTTTTTGAACAACTATATACAGGACCAAAGAATTAGGAGTAGTAACTTGAAATATAGATCATATATATTTAATCTTTACAACAAATGCAAAAGCAGTAAGTGAAAAACAAAGACATAACAGACTGTAAAACTCTTCAGAACATATAATGAAGCATAAGAGTGAATGTCACGACAGATTTATGTATGTTCGAGTTTCAGCAAAAACTGCTGAAGACAAATTTGAGAATATTTGTGTATCATACTTTTGGCACAATAGCAGGAACCAAAATAAATTATCCAGGAATAAGACATAAGAAACAGATTCAGGGTGTAAACAACAAGCTGAATAAGAATTTTGAATTAAAGAAAACTTTCAAGCCAAAAGAGAGGTTTTTCAGCCTTGCAGAGCACTCCAGAATAATGTTGGGTTTTCATGAGTTTTCAGTATTTCACATTTTTTTTTTTAAGTTTCTAATTTAATTCTTGTGAAAAGTGTTTCTCAAAAGGTAGCACATCATCTTTGTCAGGAAAGCTAACATTTTTATTTTTCATGAAATGCATTCTCTGTATTTATGCACTATATACGGTACACAAAAAGCCTATTCCATCGGTGTCAAGCCAAAAGAACAAATGAAAAGAAACTACAAAGGGAATTCTAAAGAGATTTTTTTTTTTCTCCCACTATCTTTTCTTCTGGGCTTAGCCTCAGAAGGAATTTTTGTGTCCCAAAAGACACAGGATAACTTTTCCCAAGAATCACACATCCTAAAGGTTGCTATTCTTACATGCAACTGCTAGATGACAAGGCTATGCCTTTTTTTTTTTTTTTTTAACCTCTGGAAATAGCAGTTGTTGTTGACAAAAAAAAAAATTAAGATTAAATAAATTTATATGTTTTCCCCATTTGTGTCTGATGAGAGCTGGGTTGAAGTTGCTCAGTAGTGAGGCCTTTATTGTACAAACACGTTGCTCAGCATTAAATACCATCTCGAGATTTTCATAAAGTAGTTGACATAGGATGGTCAGTAGGACAGAGCAAGAGTATAATGTATTTTTTCATGTGATTCTTCTCTACCCTGATACCTCTTGCATCTTTTTGTCACAGCAAGGGATTCCTAAAATGGATCACATCCTTCAGTTTCAGGATTCAGTGCAGAGCTCAAGTGGAATACATAGACCACATTTACTGCAACGGTAAACCCAACTCATGTAAAATAAAAGTGATCAGTCTCGGCATACTTGGGTGCCCCTGTTGAGAACTGCATTTGTGAGTTTTAGCGTGCTCTTAACCAGCAGCAATCTGACTGAGAACTGAAGATGTTCATACTTCACACTGTCAGGTGCTGAAAGCAGAAATGTATGTACTTCTGAAGAAAGGGCTGTGGTGTTCTACCAGCACTGAACCACAGGAGGATTTAACAACTGCTTATGAAAGTTGCATTGCAGGATAGCTATTAAAATCAGACATCCTACTTGCTACAATCATCTATCAGCTGCTTCTAAAATCCTGCCCACCTTCTGTGTGTCATCTGGAGGAGATAAAGTTTTAATTGTGAGCGGGTGGTATAAAAAAAATAGAAAAAAAAGACAAGGCGCCTTCTGTCATTCCAAATTTCTTGTCCTATCTTGCTTTCTGTTTCAGTGTCTTTGTGCCAGTTGAAGTTTTACAGGCAGCTTTTAAAAAGACAAAAAATATAAATAAAATCAATAGAAACAAATAAAATCTAGGACAACAAAGAGCACACCATAAAGAATGTATGGCAGAGAACGGGAATAAAAAATACTGCATATTGCAGCTTTTCCTCTTTTATGCTTTGACTCTTTTCTCACCTAAGTTTCAAATAATTCCTAGTTACCTTGGTATCCATGACCAAATTCCCTTTTAGTCTGTTTATTCTGTGTTTATATTTATGACCTTAAGAGCTTCTTCCCTGTTTCCATTAAGCTGCACTATTAAACACCAGAAGCTAGTGTTTTGGGGTTCAAAATGGTTTCATTCATAATATTTTCATTCAGCTTTTCTGTTCAATTTTTTGAGTTGATGAGACTTGACATTTTTTTCAGCCATTTGAAATAAGCCTCGTTAAAGCAGTATTTATGTTACTGTAATAAGAACTGTCTTCAGACCATGATCACTTGTCATAGACACGACAAATATTTGGTTCCCTTGGTGTGCTCCTCTTTAGATATGATGATGAAGTCTTAAAATAACTTCTCCCATCTTCGATACAGTTCTTTTGAGTTACATTTTTTGCCTCTAAATTAAAAAAAAAAAAAAAAAAAAAAAAGCATTTTCATACTGACAGCACTGAAAATTTCATGCTCTGTCATGCAGACTGCAGCCCTCGGTAAGAACAGCTTTTCTCATCTCCGTGCTGCACAGCCACTCGCCCAGGTTGGTGCCTCCGTCATCAGTTGGCTGGCCCGCTTATCTCATGTTCCCAGCGCATCCCAGGCCTCTTCCTTCCAGAACATTTTTAGTTTAGTGGCTTTCTTGAAAGTCTCTGGGTCTTGTTTCTGAGGTTTTTTCCCCCCCCCCCGTGCTGTTTTCAGTGCAGTATCACCACTATTTCACATGACTAGCAGTTGACAATTTTTCTCTTTGAAACTCCCTCTCTTTCAAATTCAATTTCCTAATTGTTTCATGGGAAAGGAACAGAGTCTTTGGCCTTTGTTTTATTATTTATAATTTTGGAGGGAAAAAACAAAGGCATGGCAACAGAAAGGACTCCTTTCGGGATCAAGTCCAGACAAACACATGATGGATGTCTAGTTAATTCTAGAAAAAAAAAAGAGAAATGTCTCTCTCCTGGAGATCTGTGACCATCTATTGCCTTAACCACTGTGGCAAGACACAGAAAATCAGGTATCCTGAAGCCTTCAAGAAATCTTAATGTCTCTAAAAAAGACCTCTTTCCTTCTCATTTATCCTAACTAATGAGTTCATAGACAATGTTTTCTGTTCTTTCAGTGCATGGTTTTGAACTTTATGCTGTTAAATTTTATCCCATTTCTCTCACGCTAGTCAAGAAGATCATTACTCATAATACCTTTCAACTTAGTGTCATCTTCAAATTTCATAGATGCACATCCAATTCTTATCTCTGTCCATTAACGACTAGATTGCACATACTGTGTCCAAAAACTAATTACAGTCCCCAAAGAGTGTTCCTGCTTATTCCTCTCTTACCTGGTAACTGCCCTTCAGCTGAGGCTTTTGCAATCTCCTCCTCAGCCACTCCACATCCACCTTACCAAGTGATTCTGGTCTGAATTATCATCACCCCCACCTTCAGCAATATCTCCTGTGGGGAATCAGTTCCTTCACTTCAGTTCAGATACACCAGGGCATTGATTTACTCTTGTGAAAGAGAATGCAATGGTACCAGAATGACATGATCTGCTCCAGGAATCACCACTCTGCAACTTGCCCTTCATGTCTATGTTCACAAGTATGTCAAAATCTGGTCTAACTCTGTGTAGTATTGAGTAACCTGGCAGTGCAAGGTGAGTCATCCCACCTGGGCATGAGCTGGTGCAATCCAACTGATTTGGAAATAATTTATACAAAAAGGATGCTTTTTCTAAGCAGTTTTAACCTCTTTATGTTCCTTATGCTTCCTTTAGAGTCACAGAGGAGATCTAGGTTTGAAGAATAAAGTAACAAATGCTGAATCCCATCAGTTTTAACTAGGTCTGTCACCTCCTACAGACTCGAGACACATTGGCAGTCATTTAACAACATGCAGCCCAACATAGTTTTAATTACATGACCACACACTCTTTTTGCAGGGGACTGTTGTTTCATATGTCACACAGGATGACTAGTGCTAATATAATAACCAATAGTTCAATGCTTTATTTTATCTACATTCTTTGAAATCCAGCCCTCTTTACCAGACATGGGTGAAATCATAGTTTCTGAAGGTATTTTATGGAACTCATTTCTACTACATCTGAGTGTTTCAAACTTTATCTTCACATAATCCACATAAGTAAATGGTGGTTTTGCTTAAATTGGGAACTGAAATTAAGGCAAAGCAGTTTTAATAATCTTGGGTGCTCAATTGAAAATAATGCAGACCTGACTTACAACAGATCCGACGTTCTACAGCACCCTGTGTAGGCAAATCACAGCTTCCATCTATTTCAGATGTAACTATTCACACATTGTTTCTGAAAACTGAACTCAAGAACCTTACTGGGCGTTCAACAAGCATCAAATAAATAGGTCTAAAACACTGGGCTTAAGTAACATATCTGTAGTATCCACTGCCATCCATGAATGCTCTAGCATTAGGAGGAACAGAATACTGAAGAAGAAAATAGACTGAGATTCTGAAAAAGAATCAAAACACTCAATTTGTTTAGGTACAACAGTAAGCATGCAGATTAGTATTTTTACTAGAGTTAGCCTATTGCTGGTACTACTGTAGGTCACAGGAGTCTCTAAAAATACCAGAACTCCACAGTCCTACATTCAAGTAGAAGATAAAAAAGCCCAGTTTCCAGATAGTGACTATTTGCCACACATCACCTGTTTCCTCTTCACTGCTGATGTTTGGAATTTTGGGGTCAGTCCTCTAACGAGGCTTGGAAACCTCCTCTTTCAACCTGCTACCTCTTTGGAATACAAAGAGCATCAAATCTATGGTCAATAGTTCTTTGCTGGTCAAACATCTCCAAAATCATTAACCCTCCCCCCCACACACACCTCCTTGTTTTGCTAAAACTTTTCCTCCTTGATTCCTTCCCTGTAGTTATAAAGGGCTGTATCGAGATCATGGGCAGGGCACATTTTTAGCTGTACTGCTCACGCTAGCCAGCCCTGAAACTTGTTCCCGACTCCTACATTCTACCAGTTTATTTTTGTTGTTTGGGTTTTGTTTGGTTTGCTTCTGCTGCACACAGCAGGAGATGGAGGATGATGGTGAGCCAGGTAAGACCCCAACAGAAAATGCTGACTACTTTTAACCTGAGTCAGTCCCAACTGGGTTCACTTGGCAGCTTAGCAGACAGATGGCATGAACATTGAGAGGCTAGGGTTGCTAACATCAATACATTTACCAAAATAATGTTCATTAAATGATTCCCAACCCTAACTTCTTCTGTTCTGCTATAGATAATACAGTTGATGGGCTACACTTCAATCACAGTGCTGTCATATGGCATCACAAGTGCCTCCTCAAAAGACAGACAGCTAAGCACTTCTTTTTAACATAGCAAATACAGGGAAAATACTGTCTCAATAAACGAGGCACAATATTTGTAAAATTTAAATAGACAAGTTCTCCAGGACATTATAACATCTTCTGCAGCAAAGAAGTATTTTGCTTATTCTTTGCTTGGGTGTTGCAGAAAGACATTGTGAGCAAAACATATGAGCTTGATGTTTTCACTCAGAGCAGCTGGGAACAGCCTGGATGAGAAACGCTTTATCTTCTCCCTCGTAGACCTGTCCGTGGCTCCCTTTGCCTGGACGTGGCCATCAGTGATGGGACATTTCAGTTGCGTGCAGGGTTTGCGGCCCGTTTCAGGGCAGGAACAGCTTGCAGCCTTCCAGGGCAGAGCCACGACAGGTGGGAAAACTCCCCCGAGAAGCTTCATCCTGCAGGTTATTGGCAGCCGTCCGACCAAATCCGGGAAGCTTTTTGAGGGAGCAAGACCACACGCCCCTTAAGTGAAACTCGACGCGATTCCTCTTGCTAGGCCGGGGCAAGGGGGTGCTGGAACCCCAAACTGGGTTAACTGGTGTGCAAAAGCCAGTCTCACCAGTTTATTCCATTGATGCGCAGAGGTGGGTGCCGGGTGTTAACACGCAAAAGAACTCCCAAGGTTTTGATTCGCCTCAAACCGCACAATTCCGTATTTACTATAATGACTGCCCGTTAGCTGCTTTCCCCCTCATCGATTAGCCACGTGCCTTCTCTCGATTTAAACTCGGTTTTTAATTTTCTGCGAAGCTCAGCGGGGGAGGGCCGTTATTCGGGTGGGGGTCTCCGAAGCGGTGGGTGTAATTTTTACTGTTATAATAAGGGCAGTTCCTGCAAAGGAGACTCCAACCCCTAATTAAACTGATTCACAGTGAACAATTCTGAACAAGCCTCCGCGTTCCGCAATGTCCGTCTTCTTTAAGGGCAGCAGCTCCCGGTTAGGAGTTTCTTACTAATTATTGCTGATGGTTGGAAGGAAAAAAAAAAAAATAAAATACTACCCGTGCTGGGATTTGATGGTAAAACATTTGTTTATCACCGGATTTGGCGTCTGGCCACCGTCCCCGCGCGCTTCTGAAGCCGCCGCCTCCCAACACCCGGCACGAACGGGTTTGTCCTAAATCTCGCCGTTTTTCACCAATTCCTGCGGCCCCACCGCGCCGTGACGCCGCCGCTCTCCTCCACCCTCCCACACTTCCGGGTTCTTCCCCCCCCCCCCCCTCCGGGCGCTGACGTCACCGGAAGCGGAGCCCGGAACGAGAAGCGGCGGCGGTTGGGGGGGTGGGGACGCACACGCGCGCGCGCCCCGCCCCCGCCAGCGACGGGCGCCAGGTACGTGTGTGCGGCCTCCGGGGCGGGGGGGGGGGGGAGGCGGGGAGCAACCGGCTGCTTCGGCCTCCGGCGGCGGGGGGGGGGGGGGTGGCGGCCCACGGCTCCCCCTCACTCGCACGCCCCGGCCTCCGCTCGCACACACACCCCGGTTTCCCCTCGCAGAACACGGCTTCTCTTCATAGGGCCCGGCTTCCCCTCACACACTCCCCGGCCCTCCCCTCACAGAACCCCGGCTTCCCCTCGCTCGCACGTCCCGGCCTCCCCTCACACGCTCCCCGGCTCCCCCTCACAGGGCTCGGCCTCCCCTCACAGAACCCCGGCTTCCCCTCGCTCGCACGTCCCGGCTTCCCCTCACACGCTCCCCGGCTCCCCCTCACAGGGCTCGGCCTCCCCTCACAGAACCCGGCTTCCCCTCGCTCGCACGTCCCGGCCTCCGTTCACGCTCCCCGGCTTCTCTTCACAGGGCCCGGCTTCCCCCACACACGGCCTGCCTTCCCCTCGCACGCCTCAGCCTCCCCTCACACACTCCCCGGCCTGTCCCTCCCATACACCCCAGCTTCCCCTCGCAGACCTGCCCCGGGAGAAGGCGCTGGGCCCGTGGGGCCTTGTCTGTGTGAGGCAGCGGGGCTGGAGGAGGAGGAGGAGGAGGTGGTGTGTACCTGCAGCCAGGGCTCCTCAGCACGGGAGCGGGTTTAAAAGTGGAGAGGTGCCACCAGCCCTGACCAACCCCGTGTTTGTGCGGACAGGTGGGGGACGTGGCCCTTCACCCAAGGACTGGTGTCCCCCCCCCCGAGTTATCACGCTGAGCCCTGACCAACCCCGTGTTTGTGCGGGCAGGGGGGGACGTGGCCACAGCGTCCCCTTCACCCAAGGACCGGTGTCCCCCCCAGGGTCACCACGCTTTGCCTGTCGCCGTGCCATGTGTTGGCACCTCCGGAGCGGGTGTTTGGTGTTGACAGTGGGGAGTGAGCTGGAAACAGGATATCCATCACCACATTTTCCAAACAGTTTAAAGCTTCCCACCCATCCCCCCTCACCCCAAATTGCATGCTCGCAGCCTTTGCTGCAGCTCTTTGGTGCTGTCAGCTGCTTTCATGAAAGAAGACTTGTCAGTTTTACCTAATGCAAGCTTTCTGTACAGTCATAAATGACTAAAAGTTACTGCGTGAGCATAATTCTCCTGACTTCATAATACAGCTGGGCTGGAGTGGTAATTTTCATTCTGAGTTTCGCCTTCCCAGTTATGTGTGATTGAACACTCATTGTTGGAGTAAAGTTGCTTGTAGTTGGTCTGGCAGCTTAGAAAGCTGCATGAAACATTTGTCATTCCTGAGTTATCCAGACATAATGTAGGGAGGTAACTTTCTGTTTAAATTATTACTGTTACTTGGTTTTGGTTTGGAAATGAGGTAACTCAAAATCCGTCATTCTGAAACATCAGGTGTTACACATCTATAGTTCCTTTCAAAAAAACACATGCATTGCTTTTTGAAGAAAAGTTGGCTTCTTTTTTCTTTCAAAGCTAAATACTGAAACTTTTGATTAGAGAAGGTACCTCCATCCTTCCAGGTAGTTAACTTTTAACTGTGGTGCTACATGAGCCAAGCTGCTCTCATGCAATCTGGCTTAACAAGACCTCACAAAATGTAGCATCCACTTTACACTATTTCTGCATGAAGTTTTTGGCTAAGGAGTTTAAGCAGTTTGGTTAAGCAGGTCCTTATTCAGGGCAGGTGTTCATCAGGACATACAGTCACTGGCAAAAGAGGTGTTACAAAATCAACAGCAATTACAAAGCTAACTGGCTATCTTTGGTCTTAACTGCACAGTGATTTGGTGACACAATAAAGAGTAGGGTGGTGACAGTATTTGCTTTCAAAGAAGCATAAATACCACTAGTACAGCAAAAAGTTGCAGTCCTTTTGGTAATCATTAATGCTTTCTTGGAATTTCTTGGAATTTAATGACACTGTGGGTGAAAGAGGGTGGCAGCATGTTACACTGCTGATGGTAAAGCTGCCTGATGATAGCCTATTGATCAGAGAATGCCTGCAGGATGTTAAAATTAGGTATTTTGTAAATATGTAGGAAAAGGCAAAAATGCTCTTGTGTAGGGAAAACTAAAATCTTAGCAATTGAAGCTGCTTAATGTTTTAGAGGGTATCGCAGTGTGATAACAATGCAAAATACAGGAAGCACGTCTTTGTGTGCTCCCCTGGGTTTGGAATTGAACAGATCTGGTGTTCTGAGTGTTTCAGGTATTATTTCACCTTCTTTGCTCGTGAGACTACTGGCCTTCATGGGGTGTCCCCTGACAGAAGGCCCAGGCCATGGCTGGGCCCGTTGCTGAGGTCACTGCCAGCCTGGCTGCTGGAGGTCTGATGTGCCACCCTTGGTGTTCGTCTGGGCACTCCCCAGCCAAAACGTGGTGCGTTAAGACAGATGTAGTATTTATAGTTTTTAAGCTGACCTGACTCCTTTTGTCTGAAGTAGGTTAGCAGATGCTGGTAGATGTAGGAGTGAGATGAAAACTTCCAGCAGGCCAAGAGTACTGAGCAGCTGGAGGTGGACGAGGGCATCATCATTTCAGAAGCATAGTGCATGCTCAGAGTGGTATCTGCCTTACTGAAATACCTCTAATTATTTGAGTTTTCTCACCAGTGCCTGGATTTTGTCTGTTTTCTTCAGATTGCTTTTTCAGTGCTTGTAGCCAATTATGACTGTATGTTAATCTGCTAGATGACTTGACCATGGTTTTTACTGAATTGCCTTTTATGTGCTAGTTAGCTAATGTTTGGGAGAGCTTCTCCTTATAATTACTCGGTGGGGATTTGTCTGTTGGTCTCTCTTCTTTTAAGTTCACAACCTTATTTTTTTTTTCCCCTGAAGACTCAGCACTGACTTTGGAGGTTTTGTCCATTCCAGGCTCTATAGAAAAAGTTCTGAATGCGACTCTATTGCTGGTACTTTGAATTTGACCCACTGTTCCTTTGGGGAACAATGTGCTGTGGTGACTGAGGAGTTCTTTAGATTTACAATAGATTCCTGGAATTGTTTGAAGTAAAGCATACATACAAAGAATGAATGGATATCTTATTTTTTTTCACTCACTTACTGAAACAAATTGGTTAACAGTGGGTATGAAAACATCTGCTTATGAAATTTAATGCTGCCCTATGAAATCTTTTTGTGCTTCAGAAAAGGCATTTTTTTTTTCTTTATAAGTGTGGTCGTACATGTATCTACTTAGCCTGTAGACCAGTTTTACAGATTTGCACTGAGAGGAATTCCTGAAGCACAATTTAATGGGTTTAATATGGTTATTTTCCATGGAAGTTGTTAAATATTTTAAGTGCTGTGGTTAGGATGTGCGTTATGTACACATACACACTCTTTTTTATTTTTTTTTTTTTTTAGAGGATGACCCTGGCTTGTGGACTCCGAGAACTTAATGTTTAACTACTCACGGTATTCCTTACACTGTTGCAGTGTGACGGAGTCGTATTGAAATGTAAAAAGATACAGCATTCAATTTTGTATTATCCTTACCTTTCTGCTGAGCTCACCATTAGATACTTATTAGTGCCAGTTTTGGTAGTGATTTTTGGTTTTACGGCTGACTACTTTTAGGAATTAGACTGGGACCCACTAGTCATTTCCCTCCAGCTACAGACCCACTCCACTGTTACCAGAGTGCCCAGGGTGCAGTTTCACAGCCAGTTCACGTTACATCCCCATGGCTGGAAGGGGTAGCACTCCTCTTCCTCCTGCTCAACCCTCCCAGCCGTATGAGGGGTCACCTGGCTGCATAGTGGGCTAGGTGAGGAACAGAGCTAGAGATGTAAAATTCTCCTTTCTGGTTGCATCAGCTTGCTCGCTAGCATGAGTGCCATCGTGAGAAAAGCTGTGGGACTGTGGCTGGGAGTGGAGAGGAAGGGCTCAGCAGATCATGGATCTGCAGCCTGAGTCACCTTGTTCTTGAACTGACTATGGTGAAAGCCCCTCTACCAGTTCCCTGAGCAGTCTGCTCCTGTGAGTTAATTATTAATGATACTTCTGGTGAGGATGGTGTCCTCCTCTGTGGGCTAGTGCAGTCTTCATGTAACCGCTTTTATTCCCATTACACTCTCCTGCAGAGTATTGACCTCCAGCTTGGTGGAACCTCTCTGGTACAGCAGCTGGTATTCTCTTGAGCGGGTATCCAAAGAGGAGAGATAAACTGTGTGTAGAGGCTAAGTTTAGGTGTTTCTTCTTCATAGTTACTGTAGTTTCTGCATTCTTCCAGCTTCCTGTTGCCCAGCAGAAATTGAAGGGACCAATCTGTGCTAAGCCTGCGATACAGACATTTGAGTCTTGGAGATACTGATTTTTAATACCCTCCTGAAATAGGCATTGTCTTAGCAACTGTAGTATTAGCTGAATCAATATATTTAGTATGGTGGTAAATTTAGGAAACTCTTCTGTCAGTAAATACGTTTTTTTCTCAGGCAGGGAAATGAAAGAAAATGTTCTCTATCATATGTCTAGATAGAGAGACAATGGTGACAATGAGATTTAGTTGTACATGTTGTCAGTTGGTCTGCAAATTAGCCAGTTCTGGTGTTGACTGGAAGCAGATCCATACCTGAAGCACCAGTGATACTGAATTGTTAGTGTTTATGTTTCTTGGTGCTTGTGCATTTAAAGTCAGGCCCAGCATACTACATTATTCCAGTTTCTGGGTTTTTTTGATTGGTTGGTTGTGTTTTGGTTTTTGTTTTTGTTTTTTTTTTTTAGTTTATTGCTAGTTGTTAATAAGGATGTTTTCCATTTTACTGGCAATTTCAAGTCAAAGTTTAAGCTAATTTTTTTTTTGAGAGAGACATACTGAAAAATGATTTTGACTGTCTTGAAAATATTCTTGATTACTCTTAAGTACCCCTAGGCATCTCCAAGATGTAGATAAGAAATATGAAATCTAATAGGAAGATAGCTTTGGAAATTGTGAACTATTTCCCAAG